ATAATACTGTTACAAATGCAATGATAATTGATTACTTGATCAAATTTAAGTCAATCATACAAAGAGCAGGACTTAGGAGGAGCCACCATCTGAATGCATGACAATGACTGGCTCAGCCAACAGGGTAGTTGCTAGCAGCTACAAGTCATTATTAGCCGTGATAGGTGTGATGGAGTAATCTCGATTACTTTCATTATCTGTGTTTAGTTAGCCTATCATTAAGTTTTCTGCCATATCTAAGGCAGAATAGGGTGAGTCATTGGGGAGTCACCTATCATTAGCCCAACAAAGAATAGCAGACAGCATGAAACACCATGTGCAGTGTGGCCATTGTGTCAATTCTGGGGATCTGTACTGTAACTAGTGAAGGTGCTATCAAAAACTTTAACTATAATACAGGAATAGTGACAGTGTTGTGAGAAACCAAGCTGTAAAAGTGATAAATAGTAGCAGTGCTGTGAGAAACTGCAGCTATAGGAAGGGGATAATTAGTGTCATGAACAACAGCAGCGATAATAGTGATAATTAGTGATGGTGTTGCAAGGTTAATGATAGTGTAGTGAGAAAATGAAAATATAATATGGTGATTATCAGTGACAGCTTCATGAAGAGCTGTGACAGTGATACCATTGTCATTAGTGAAATAGTATTGAGCAGGGTTACAACAATGATAACCAGTAGTACAGTCCTAAGATTACAAGTGATTACTCTGAACAAAGGACAGTGCTCTCTCCCTCTCTTTCCCCAATAAAGCTATCACTGAAATTTTAACTGTTTGTTTAAGCCTGCCATCTCTCATGCACACACACCCAAAATCCTAGGGGGGTGGTGGTTTGCAACACTATAATTACTATTTACTAAAAAAGGAGGATTTTAAGGCCTTAACAAAGCAATGATTGCCAACTGTTATATATAATTGGCAATGACAATAAATATTTCCCAGGGAGGTGGTTGAACCAAAATATTACTACCTACCTACCAAAAAAAAAAAAAAAAGAGGGGGGGGGGGGATTTCAGGACCTTAAGGAAACAGTGAATGCCAACTGTTACAAATAGTTCGCACTGGTAATAACTGGCTTGTTTAAGAAATCATGTAATCAAACACTAGGACATATTTAATAGAGAGCATTTCATTTCTGGGACCTTGAACAACATATTATGATCAAAAAGTTTTCTAATAAATATGTCCTAGTTTTTGTTCACACATCTTTAAACCACTCATCAGTATCAATTACTAAAGTTTATACTAATGGCAATAATTACTTAAGACTACTTTGGTTATAATGAAAGAGTTTTCTAAGCACATGAGAACAGTTCACCATCATTAATCATGTAAAATGTATGTAGACCAAGATGAATTTACTCATTTTTTCTTGTTATTAGAAACTGCTTGGATCAGCTGAGTAAGTTTATCTAAACTCCACTATTAGTGTACAAATTCTTAATGTTTATTGACAGACTTATCTTAAAGAAGCATTATTTTCTTAAAATATTCAGTTTCACTTTCTCACAGGAAATCAATGAAAAATAGTATTTAAGCATAATTTAAACCATGTCATGTCAGATTTAATAAAGTGTAATGAGCACTGATCAATGACAGAGAAAATCCTGTGGAATTTTCTCTCATTGTCCTATTAGTTGTTCCCTACATCTCTGGTCCTGTTTCTTGTACTACAACTAGCAAAAAAAATCACAGATAAAATTCTAAGATGAACAGAGTGCATGAAGATTTTACTTGAAAATGTTTTTCAATACCATATATTTCCCATAACTTATGCTATATCTAAGATCTGTTTGTATTATTTCTCAATTTTGATTGTTTGTTGGACTGGTCAATACTGTGCTCTCTGATTGTATACTACGATGTGTAGTTTCTTCTACATTGTGTGTCTGAAGAGTGCCAAAGGAGATTGTTCCATTATCCTCCAGCAAATATGCATTACTAGTACTCATTGAACCTTCTGTGCTTTCTGTAGTCAAGGTCTCGTTACTTGGTTCAGTAGTACTCAATGAGCCTTCTGCGCTCTCTGTTGTCGAAGTATTATTTGATTCAGTAGTACTCACTGAGCCTTCTGTGCTTTCTGTAGTCAAGGTCTCATTACTTGGTTCAGTAGTACTCACTGAGCCCTCTGTGCTCTCTTTTGTCAAGGTCTCATTACTTGACTTAGTTGAACGAGTTTCTGAAGTTTTACTGTGAGTGAAAATGTGTGTCAAATCTAAATGGGAAAATGCATTAATAATAGAATCTGTCTTTTTTGACCTATTATTCATCAATGAAGAAAGCATTATTTCATGATATGAACCTTGTTGCTCTCCTGCAGCAGTAAACTAAATTTCTTCCTGCTTTCCAGGAGTCATTTCTGTGCTTGTCATGTATGTTTCATTTATCACTTCTCTGCCAGTTGTATGTTTTAAGAGCAATATATCAGATGCAGAGGAATGCATTGTGGCCTCAGTTGTAACTCCTTTTAATTGTTCCTCTGTTTTATGAAACTGTTCAGTAATCAGAGACTGTTCGACTGTATTTAAGTTATCAGATGAATTAGCCTGAGCATGAAATACATAGGAATTTTCATCTGCTGAAGCAGCAGTTGGAAGTCCACTATTATTATCAAGCAGGTTTGTTTCCCCTACCGAGTCATTACTGGCATTATCAGTGACATGTACTTTTAAAACTTTCTCTCTCTTTTTTATAGCACTATTCATCAAGTTATTCAAAGATGTAGTTTCCTTTTCAAAACTATTTCTTTCCAAATTATCTGTGATGGCATCCGAAGTATGAAATATTTGTTTAACGAGATCATAAAAACTACCATTTCCTTGAAGTTTCAGTTCAAATCCTCCATCCTCTAAAGTATTAACATGAATTTTGGTATCTTGCGATGCCAAGAGATCACCAAATGGGCAATCTGACTGAAAACTAATTTTACTGGATACAAATTTGTTTTGATGACCATTGACCTCAATATTTAAGAGAGGTTCTTTTCCTCCAGGTTCTAGGTTAACATCAGGCAGTGAACTAGGCCTCAAAATTACATTACTAGTAAATGAAATATTACTGCTTGCTTCAGATAATGATTCAGCTAGTGTAATAGTGTGTCTATTAGTTAAAAGGGGAGCAATTTTGCCAACATTTCCATCAAATAAACCCATTAACCCTAAGTGGTAAACTGTGGATACTCTAGGATGAGAACTTTCCATCATTTGGTGTCCCATGTCAATATCCTCTAAATCTGGCATCATTACTGACTCTCCTATTACTTCTTCATCTTTTGACGAAGTTGTATTTTCATTACCAACTGATGACTCGGTAATATTTTCAATCACTGGCACTATTTGTTTATCAGTTCCACTGCTTACTTCCAAATTTTCCTGGACTTTATTAACATTAAAAGAAGAATGCCTTCCTTGAAGATGATCTTTATCAGACAACTGATTGTTTAGTGGAACTTTAATCAAAACACTAGAAAGAGCTTCTGGACTTCTACGAGAACGACTTGCTTCTGTAGCTGCTTCAAGTCCTATCTGTTTAACAGACTCTGTGCCATTTCTTGTCTTTTCCTGCTTCGGCATTAGAGGGTCAATCATGCTCTCAGCATGCACGAATTCTGATTCAGGTTGACCATGAGCATGGGAACTGCTGTCTATCTGTCCACTCGTGGGTGAAGATGATGGCACACTTATTAAGTCAGTCTCGTTTTCCATGTGCATATAATCAAAGTTGAATGTAACTGGGGAGTCTTTTTGAAAATTAGGATTAGGAGTACTTTCTTCCATACTGTGTGTCGAAGTAAGATCTGCTGTACTGGTATGTCTAGAGTTTGGCAAAATAGTTAGGACTGTATGATCTCCTTGAACTGTAACAGTGGAGTTTTCCTTTGGCTCTGAGGTGTGTTGCTGAAGCAAGTCATTATCATTATCAATTATGATTTTTCTACTTGTATTTTCTTTTGTGTCTTTACCTGTGCCAACCATTAATTTATTTGTCATTATGGGTTCAATCTCTGTCACATCCAATACAGTCTCACGAGCCTGAGAATTATGATACATTCGCTGCAGGAGATCATTAAGCCCACCATGTCCTCTTACGTTTAATTCAAATTTGTCATTGGAGGTGGTCAAATTAATTTCCACTCCTTTTGCTCTCAAAAGCTCAATCAGAGGACAATTTGAATTTGAATTACTTATCTCCAGTTTCTCTGGGTTTTCCTGACTGATAATGTCATGATGACCAGCTTCAAGTTCACGAAATAGAGATCTTTCTCCAGTATCAAGACTGTTTTTGTGATGTGAACCTTTATTTCCTTTAATATTATTCTGAGCTCTAACATCAGAGGACTGATTTTCCTCCAATGACATCCTATTCTTTGAAACTATAGGTAGCTGGAAGCCATATTGTGGCAACATTACTACTGATGATGCTGAAGATTGTATATTCTTTTTCAGTGGAGAGAAATTATCAGTATTATGCACATTTATACTACCAAGCTGAACCATCGGCCAAGGTCTCCATGTAAAATCCCTATTCAATAAAATCGGATTTTCAATTTGACCAGCTGTGAGTCCTCTGGTGAAGTGAACATCATTCCACTGTGGTTCACTATCTCCCAGTATTCCACTCCAATACCGTGGATGCACTCGCTTATTTCCGCCCTTAAGCAATAACTGTCTCGTCTCATCGCTACTCATAACAGGCATTCTAGCATTGGTATTTGATAACCAACTCAATTCATTAACTCTATTACCCAGAAGTGTCTGCCAGTTGTTAACAAGACCTGGTGTTACCTGTTCAATGGTCTCAAGGTTCGTCTCTGTATCATCCTTCATAACAGGATCTTGTTGCAGACTGTCAGTGTTCAACAATGAGCCCTGCTGATTAACAACATAAGGAGCTCTCAGGATGTTAAAGATTGTGTTGTACTGATTGTTTGATGGAAGTTGAACTAAAGTAATCTGTGGGTTAACAAAAATACTAGGAACACGATCATAACTGTAACTACCTGGTATATGGCACGTAATTTTCTTCTCCTTCCATGGCCCAGTCAGAGTTTCGTTATCTTCATTTACACTGATGGCACGTAAATCAATATTCAACTCCTCTTGGTGCTCTGTACACTTAATTTTTAGGTCCTCAAAGCTGATCGCTAACTGAGCTGAAAAAGAAAACAACAATTTTGTGGGAAAAACAAAAACTTCCATAACAAAATATGTATGATGCTGGAAAATTTTTTTATGGTTTTACTACCTAAAATTAATTTACTGAATTCCAAATGATTTCTATATTCTCATCAGTGGGAAGATACAAAAATTAACCACATTAAAACTTTTTAATCTCCAATATACAGAACAATGTTTGAATATCTGAAGAGGACTTTTGTTTTTATCTTTAGGTCATCCTGCCTCAAGTGGGATGTGGCCAATGTGTTGAAAAAAATCTGGAGAGGATTTATAATAAGAATGGAAGAAAGATTTATAAATATAGAAGGTTTAATGATGGATATAAAACCATTATTCAAGAGGAGGAATGTGGAGGACTACATCTAAAACAGACCTCATGATAACATATGTATAGAGAAAGCCATAAGATCATACCAGATATTTTTCTGTCTTAACATGCCCCTATTCCCTCAACTTAGTGGCAACAAAGAATCAGAAATACAGATCACATCAATATCTTGATTTTTTTTTTTTTTTTTTTTTTTAACTGGGCAGCTATCTCCCGCCAAGGCAGGGTCACCCAAAAAAGAAAACACATTCGCCACCATTCACTCAATCACCATCTTTCCAGAAGTGTGCTGACACCACATTCAAATTGCCTTCCAACTGTAACATCCCACCACTCTGTCAGAGTGAAGACACTGCTCTTCCCATGTCCAGGGCTCAAGTCTGGCTAACCAGTTTTCCTGAATCCCTCCATAAACGTTGTTTTGCTCACACTCCAACAGCACATCCATTAAAAAAGCCTTTGTTTCCACTCATTCCTATCCAACACTCTCACACAAGCTTGCTGGATGCTCAAGCCCCCAAAACTCAAAGCTTCTTTTACCCCTTTTCTCCAACCATTTCTGAAATGAACCCTACCCTTTCTACCTTCCATCCCAGATATACACACAATCTTTGTCACCCAATCCCTCTCCATCCTCTCTACATGCCCAAACCACTTCAGCACTCTGAACTATACCTTTGGTAATCCTACATCTCTTTAATTTCTACGTTCCAAATCAGTGGCGGCCCGTAGCTAAAATTAATGGTGCTGCTGCTTGCATGGAATTGTGAAGTGCACAGTTCCATGCAAGGATTTTTGTAATTTTTTCATGTAATAAGGGATTATATAATGTACAAGTATAAAGAAAGAATTAAAAAAAAAAAAAAGACTCATTATATTGAATGTTATCGATAATATACAGTGAAAATAGGGCCTATACACGAGCAAAATATTTACACCACACATTACTCTCATATGTGATATCTCCACTACTTCTAGCTGCCTCCTCCTCCTCCTCCTCCTCCTCCTCACTGTAGCATTAAAAGCCCATCCCTCACATCCATATAAAAGGGTAGGTAGCACTATACAGTACTCAAGTACATTTCCCTTTATGCCACAGATAAACCATTTTTTTTTCCCACGGTTATTTGAACACACTACTGACCTTTTTACCCCTTATGGTTCACTTCATCCTTCATTGATCATTGTACAGTTTTCAGTCAAATGTTCAATTCATTAATTATTGTTAAATTCCAAAACTTGCTCTATACTAAATACCTCTTTGGGAGTATGTAATATCCATAATTGCTTTATACTGAAAATTTCAATACAATAAGTCTTCAATTTAACAAACCTCAGCTTAACGAACTTTGCAAAATATAAGACAAAATAAGCTAGGTCCAATGATCCGGAAACCTCAGTTTTCTGGTTACAAAATTGTCCATTACTGTTACAAACACAGCAAAACAGTCTCATCTCTATCCACCATAATCACCATTTCTGGCCACCTGCTTCCTCTCCATTAGTCCATTAAATAGAGGGTTTACTGTAATTTTTCTAAGGTAAATTTAATTTTATATGCAACATTACTGTTTAATAATTCATTTGTATAGTAAGAAATTATGGTTTCCTTATACTCTCAATGCTTTTTAACTACATTTTTTTCATTTCTTACTTTATATGGGTGAAAAACTGAATGGAAAATTATCTACTGGGTACAGATTATTTTTTCACATGTAACCGCCAAGCTACTGAAGACATACCATTTTGGCAGCTTTAAGGCACTTGCTTCCCACTAATGTTTCTTCCCAACACTAAGTGACAATCATTTAAGAAATTCCTGTGTCAATTCCTAGCCCTTATAACAAAATATATTATGAATAAATATCACAAACTTCAAATCTTACATGGTGAAGTACGGTGGTAGTGTTCTGTGCCATTTATCCTGTAGCGCAGTTCATAAATACATTCTGGGGCATAACAGTCATCATGCTCCCATTCAAGCTGATTATCTTCCTGGTCTATGCTGTCAATCTTGCCAGGAGCTAAAAAGAGAAAGAGATTGCAAATAAAGTATATGTAACTATGTTAACAGATCCCCTTGCTAATATCTAGGGTGTTCAAAAAGACACAACATATGGAAAACGAATGTTTATACGTAAATTACAAAACAAAAATTTGATGTGTTGGTCATCAAGGTTTTCACATACTGTAAGTGCACATGGTGAATTATATCATTAAACATTTGTCTTAAAGTCTCTCTTGTATGTCATCCACTGTTATTGATGTTAATGTATAGTTAATTTTTCCAGTGTATAATGCTGATTTGAATGCACTGTAGCCTTTAAAAAACAAAAAGAAACCTTAAAATGTAAATACTGTTCATGTATTTAATCACTAACACAACAAAAAACAGTGCTTAATATGTACATTCTCCATGGGTTGCAATTTTTAACACCCTGTATAAAGTAAACACCATTCCACACAATATATTTTAGACTATGGTGAAATATGGGCTCTTACATTTAAACTGACATTTGTACAAATGTTACTGTGTAACTATGATTAATGTTTAATTTGAGATAGAGATACCATAAGACACCATTAAGCATCATTACCATGAAAAGAAAAAATCTTTGTCAATCATGCAAGATTAATTTTTTCTGTTGCAGTGTTATGAATTAATCCTGATAGAGGAGCAATGTGGCAGATGTTGCAAGTATATGGAATAGGTGGTAAGTTACTAAATGCTGTTAAGAGTTTTTATGAGGATAGCGAGGCTCAGGTTAGGGTGTGTAGAAGAGAGGGAGAAATACTTCCCGGTAAAAGTAGGTCTTAGACAGGGATGTGTAATGTCACCATGGTTGTTTAATATATTTATAGATGAGGTTGTAAAAGAAGTAAATGCTAGGGTGTTCGGGAGAGGGGTGGGATTAAATTATGGGGAATCAAATTCAAAATGGGAATTGACACAGTTACTTTTTGCTGATGATACTGTGCTTATGGGAGATTCTAAAGAAAAATTGCAAAGGTTAGTGGATGAGTTTGGGAATGTGTGTAAAGGTAGAAAGTTGAAAGTGAACATAGAAAAGAGTAAGGTGATGAGCGTATCAAATGAGTTAGATAAAGAAAAATTGGATATCAAATTGGGGAGGAGGAGTATGGAAGAAGTGAATGTTTTCAGATACTTGGGAGTTGACGTGTCGGCAGATGGATTTATGAAGGATGAGGTTAATCATAGAATTGATAAGGGAAAAAAGGCGAGTAGTGCGTTGAGGTATATGTGGAGTCAAAAAACGTTATCTACGGAGGCAAAGAAGGGAATGTATGAAAGTATAGTGGTACCAACACTCTTATATGGATGTGAAGCTTGGGTGGTAAATGCAGCAGCGAGGAGACGGTTGGAGCCAGTGGAGATGTCCTGTCTAAGGGCAATGTGTGGTGTAAATATTATTATCTTATTATCACACTGGCCGATTCCCACCAAGGCAGGGTGGCCCGAAAAAGAAAAACTTTCACCATCATTCACTCCATCACTGTCTTGCCAGAAGGGTGCTTTACACTACAGTTTTTAAACTGCAACATTAACACCCCTCCTTCAGAGTGCAGGCACTGTACTTCCCATCTCCAGGACTGAAGTCCGGCCTGCCGGTTTCCCTGAACCCCTTCATAAATGTTACTTTGCTCACACTCCAACAGCACGTCAAGTATTAAAAACCATTTGTCTCCATTCACTCCTATCAAACACGCTTACGCATGCCTGCTGGAAGTCCAAGCCCCTCGCACACAAAACCTCCTTTACCCCCTCCCTCCAACCTTTCCTAGGCCGACCCCTACCCCGCCTTCCTTCCACTACAGACTGATACACTCTTGAAGTTATTCTGTTTCGCTCCATTCTCTCCACATGTCCGAACCACCTCAACAACCCCTCCTCAGCCCTCTGGACAACAGTTTTGGTAATCCCGCACCTCCTCCTAACTTCCAAACTACGAATTCTCTGGATTATATTCACACCACACATTGCCCTCAGACATGACATCTCCACTGCCTCCAGCCTTCTCCTCACTGCAACATTCATCACCCATGCTTCACACCCATATAAGAGCGTTGGTAAAACTATACTCTCATACATTCCCCTCTTTGCCTCCAAGGACAAAGTTCTTTGTCTCCACAGACTCCTAAGTGCACCACTCACTCTTTTTCCCTCATCAATTCTATGATTCACCTCATCTTTCATAGACCCATCCGCTGACACGTCCACTCCCAAATATCTGAATACATTCACCTCCTCCATACTCTCTCCCTCCAATCTGATATTCAATCTTTCATCACCTAATCTTTTTGTTATCCTCATAACCTTACTCTTTCCTGTATTCACCTTTAATTTTCTTCTTTTGCACACCCTACCAAATTCATCCACCAATCTCTGCAACTTCTCTTCAGAATCTCCCAAGAGCACAGTGTCATCAGCAAAGAGCAGCTGAGACAACTCCCACTTTGTGTGTGATTCTTTATCTTTTAACTCCACGCCTCTTGTCAAGACCCTCGCATTTACTTCTCTTACAACCCCATCTATAAATATATTAAACAACCACGGTGACATCACACATCCTTGTCTAAGGCCTACTTTTACTGGGAAATAGTTTCCCTCTTTTCTACATACTCTAACTTGAGCCTCACTATCCTCGTAAAAACTCTTCACTGCTTTCAGTAACCTACCTCCTACACCATACACTTGCAACATCTGCCACATTGCCCCCCTATCCACCCTGTCATACGCCTTTTCCAAATCCATAAATGCCACAAAGACCTCTTTAACCTTATCTAAATACTGTTCACTTATATGTTTCACTGTAAACACCTGGTCCACACACCCCCTACCTTTCCTAAAGCCTCCTTGTTCATCTGCTATCCTATTCTCTGTCTTACTCTTAATTCTTTCAATAATAATTCTACCATACACTTTACCAGGTATACTCAGCAGACTTATCCCCCTATAATTTTTGCACTCTCTTTTATCCCCTTTGCCTTTATACAAAGGAACTATGCATGCTCCTCTGCCAATCCCTAGGTACCTTACCCTCTTCCATACATTTATTAAATAATTGCACCAACCACTCCAAAACTATATCCCCACCTGCTTTTAACATTTCTATCTTTATCCCATCAATCCCGGCTGCCTTACCCCCTTTCATTTTACCTACTGCCTCACGAACTTTCCCCACACTCACAACTGGCTCTTCCTCACTCCTACAAGATGTTATTCCTCCTTGTCCTATACACGAAATCACAGCTTCCCTATCTTCATCAACATTTAACAATTCCTCAAAATATTCCCTCCATCTTCCCAATACCTCTAACTCTCCATTTAATAACTCTCCTCTCCTATTTTTAACTGTGGTGTAAATATTATGCAGAAAATTCGGAGTGTGGAAATTAGGAGAAGGTGTGGAGTTAATATAAGCATTAGTCAGAGGGCAGAAGAGGGGTTGTTGAGGTGGTTTGGTCATTTAGAGAGAATGGATCAAAGTAAAATGACATGGAAAGCATATAAATCTATAGGGGAAGGAAGGAGGGGTAGGGGTCATCCTTGAAAGGGTTGGAGAGAGGGGGTAAAGGAGGTTTTGTGGGCGAGGGGCTTGGACTTCCAGCAAGCGTGCGTGAGCGTGTTAGATAGGCGTGAATGGAGACGTATGATACTTGGGACCTGACGATCTGTTGGAGTGTGAGCAGGGTAATATTTAGTGAAGGGATTCAGGGAAACCGGTTATTTTCATATAGTCGGACTTGAGTCCTGGAAATGGGAAGTACAATGCCTGCACTTCGAAGGAGGGGTTTGGGATATTGGCAGTTTGGAGGGATATGTTGTGTATCTTTATACGTATATGCTTCTAAACTGTTGTATTCTGATCACCTCTGCAAAAACAGTGATAATGTGCGAGTGTGGTGAAAGTGTTGAATGATGATGAAAGTATTTTCTTTTTGGAGATTTTCTTTCTTTTTTGGGTCACCCTGCCTCGGTGGGAGACGGCCGACTTGTTGAAAAAGAAAAAAAAAAAAATGAAGAGTTTTGGAGATTTATATTTTTCCTTTTTTTTCTTCAAAGTGCAAATTTTGACATGATACACACACAATTCATACAAACTAATCCCGTATACAGAACACATCTACAGTGATATCCACAATATGTAAACAGATTTCACACTTCTGGAAGTGACAATAACAAATTATATATATACAGAGAGAATAAAAAGTCACAATACTGTGGATGTATAAACAAGATGGCATCATGGTGTGAACCCAGGCCAGCCTAGTGGCACTCCCACAACCTTACCCCTAGACTATGAAGTCACATACTTAAGTGGTGAAACAGGAATTATTACTTAATATATCAGTCATGGCCATGATAAGCCCCATTGTTGCCACAATTCACATTTCACTCAAAAGTTTGTACCAAGATAACATCTTGTTTACAATATTCGATACATTCAGGCATATGTGAAATCTGTAATGATGTATACATCTTATATAGAAGTGTATGTTGTTCAAGTTCCTGTTGCAGCTTGAAATTTTTTTACATATTAGCAACTGCTTTCAGGGAAATAGATACAATCATTTACAATACTCACCTCCAATTTTTGTCCTCACAGCAAGATGAGCAGCCTTATCACCACACGATGCACCTTTTGTGCATGGAGTAACACTGAACAAGTACTTTGTGTAGGGCTCTAAGCCTGTCATATTATACTGAAAAAAAATTAATTAAGATAAAATCAATTTAATAAATCTGCCTCTACGCACTTATTTCACGTATTTTTCATACAATGTTGCAATAAGGAAATTTTTGATGTTCCACAAGGATAACTATTCAATTTAAATTTCAATAAATCATGTGAATTTATTTGAAATTCAATCCTCAGTGGTTTCAAATATTGCAGTGCTAAAGCCAGGTTGGTCAACTGGAATTTAATAATGTATAAATAGTCTTTCAGTTTTTTTCCAAGTTAAGGGTGATCCAAAGAAAACACATTTACCGTTTATTTATTCTTTCAGAAATTATCATTACTACCATGGTTTTGTTCAAAATGCTGTGCACATTGTGGCTTTAACCCCTTTAACTGTGTCCAGTGAATTAGTACACACAATCTTTCGTTCCTTCAAATGCATCACCCGTCAATATTTTTTACCTCAGCATAACTATTTAGGTCTCCTACAACCACTTCATGGCTTTGAAAATACAGCCTCTCTTCGCTTAATGACGGAGTTCCGTTCCCAAGACCATGTCGGTGAACGAATTCGTTGCTAAGTGAGGAGCATACCTTTGAACCTTTGAAGAGTTTCGAGAGTTAATCTACTCCCTGAGCCCAGCCATGGGCCAGGCTCGTCTGGTGCTTGCCTGGTAAACCGGGCTGTTGCTGCTGGAGGCCCACTGCCTCACATATCCATCACAGCCTGGTTGATCTGGCACCTGGTGAAGATACTTGTCCAGCTTCCTCTTGAAGACTTCTACACTTATCCCAGCCATATTTCTGATATCTTCTGGTAAGATGTTGGACAGTCTGGGACCCTGGATGTTGATACAGTGTTTCCTTATTGTCCCCACTGCACCTCTGCTTCTCACTGGGTTTATTTTACACTTCCTCCTGTATCACTCACTCCAGTAAATTGTTATGGCAGTGTGCAGATTTGGGACCAGGCCTTCGAGTATTTTCCAGGTACATATTATCATGTACTCCAGGTATCTCTCTCTCCTCCGCTCCAGTGAATACATGTTCAAGACTTGTAGGCATTCCCAGTAGTTTAGGTGCTTTACAGGCTGAATGTGAGCCATAAACGATCTCTGTATTTGTTCCAGCTCCAATATTTCTCCTGCCGTCAGCAATGAGCAATATTCTAAGTGAGGGAGCACTAGTGATTTGAAGAGTGTCACCATCGGCATTATTTCCCTTGTTTTGAAAGTTCTCAATACCCACCCCGTGATCTTCCTGGCTGTCGTGATCTTTGTCTTGTTACCTGGAGTTTACCTGGAGAGATTTCTGGGGGTCAACGCCCCTGCGGCCCGGTCTGTGACCAGGCCTCATGGTGGATCAGCCTGATCAACCAGGCTGCTACTGCTGGCTTCACGCAATCCAACGTACGAGCCACAGCCCAGCTGGTCAGGTACCAACTTTAGGCGCTTGTCCAGTGCCTGCTTGAAGACAGCCAGGGGTCTATTGGTAATCCCTCTTATGTATGCTGGGAGGCAGTTGAACAGTCTTGGGCCCCTGATACTTATTGTGTTGTCTCTTAACGTGCTAGTGACACCCCTGCTTTTCAGTGGGGGGATGTTGCATCATCTGCCGAGTCTTTTGCTTTCGCAGTGAGTGATTTTCATGTGCAAGTTTGGTACTAGTCCCTCTAGGATTTTCCAGGTGTATATAATCATGTATTTCTCCCACCTGCATTCCAGGGAGTACAGGTTCAGGAACTTCAAGTGCTCCCAGTAATTGAGGTGTTTTATCTCTGTTATGGTCTTTAAAAAGAAAGGTCTACTGACATAATTATTCCCAGGTCTTTTAAGTGTTCCTTATGTTCTATTTGGTGACCCTCTTGAGTTATATATATAGTGTTCCTTTTGAGTTCTTCATTCTTTCCATACCTAAGCAGCTGGAACTTATCACCACTGAACGTCATGTTGTTCTCTACTGCCCACAGCATACTATAATGGTAGTGGGCTTGTGTCAACTATCTTTGATATTGTTTTAATGTCACCTTGCACCATTTATAACATTTCTGGTAGATTTTTAAATGTTAATACAGCAGTGTACTGTATATTGTGATAAACAGAATAGAGGAAATCAGCTCTAATATACATTATTTAGGCATGCATACTGGTCAGACAGCCCATCGTAACTCCAAGGCGTCGGTAAACGAGTACATTGCTATGTGAGGAGAGGCTGTATCTAAAACCAGATGGGTCCACATAATGCATCATGGGTAAACAATGAAACAAGGACCTGTTGTGCCACCACCAACTTCCCTACCAGCATTCAGGGTGTGGAGCTAGCAGGAAGATGCCTTATTCATTCCATATTTACTAGAATTTCACAATACTAACAGTTGAATTCAGTCAGACACACACACTATACAGATTTAAAGAATAAAAAGGCACAATACTGTGACTGTAACAACACAAAATAACCTGCACATAAGAGACATACTTATGAAGATGTTTCGGTCCAATTTGGATCATTAACTAGTCATAGAAAAGTTCAAAGGGAAGAGAGCCAGAATATATACGAGAGGAAGAAGGGGTGGACAAGGGAGTGGTAGAACGTGAGGAGGCAGTGGTGGCAGGTAACAGGCAACAGAGGCAGCAGCAGAGGTGGCAGAAGAGGCAGTGGCAGCATAAGCAGTATTTATGCCACCGATGCCGACGAGTGATAATTTTTTTTTTTTTTTTTTTGCAAACTTCAATATACCATAAAATCCTAACTTTTTTAACATATCCCACTCATTTTAGTTTTGTCTGATTTATAAAAATACACTCTTTCAATAAAAAATAAAAAAGTAATCTTGCCACACTCACAGGAAATTTGATTTCAGGTGAACTCTACAAGGTTAAAACTGTGTGTGTTTGAATAAACTATATTTTTGTCATTTTTATGGAGTACGTACATTACAGAGAAATTCACCATAAATGAATGTAAATAATTTTTAGAAATGAATGGGATTAACAGCCTAATCTCAGGACTGCCAAACCTCAAATCAAATCCTATTCACTACTAAAATTTGTAGAAAACATTTTAAATTTCTTCTTTTCATTTTAGTAACTGAATACAAAGAATGATGGAGGTTATTAGAGATAGGGGCCTCAGCAGCCTACAAGAATGTGTGACCAGGCTAAACTTAAATGAGTGGAAACAAATGTGTTTCAGGATGTAACATGTTGCTAAGGAGCGAGAATATAAATAATTATGAAGGGATTCAAGGTGGAGATATGACATATAAATTGGTCATTTCCATCATGATTTCCATGCACTTCTAAAGTGACTTTTGGATGATGCCCTTTTTTTTTTCTGTCCTTTGGGTCACCCTGCCTTAATGGAAAACAGCCAATATATTTAAAAAATACATAGTACTTACCATAGTTACATCTGAGGTACTGTTGGCCTTAACCTTCACAGGTGTTACAGGTGGTTCCACAGTGATACTATATTCTGAAATCTGCCCATTGCGCTCTTCAGGAAGTGGAGGCTCCCAAGCAAGTAAAATCCACTGTTGGCCCTTTGCTGTATCCTTTAAGCGATGGGGTACACCGCTAGGCTCTGAGATTCAAAATACAATTAAATTTGTTGTTATACATTGCATCCCCTACAAATATTTTGCACTTTATCGTACTATAATCCTTTAACTGTCACATCTTGTTCCTATATTTATTATGAAATGGAAAAAAGTATAAAAACCAGACTTCATGCATAATTTGGGTACAGCATGTAGTATAATTAAGCTTTTAGCCCAATGTTGCACATTTGATATAAAAGTATCTCATTTTCTTTTTAAATTTTTGATCTCTTGCACTGCCAAAAATATATATATAGTGACTATGTCATAAGTACACTAACCTAGTGGAAGTATTGCATTGTCAAACTATTAACATTAGGATTCAAAGGCACACATTAAAATGGATACACAAAATGCATAATTTACACATAAACAAAGAAAATAATTTACATACTATCTGGCAAAGTCTGAACTCTTGCAGAGTTACTCCACTTGCTAAGTCCAATCTCTGTGAGGATTGCAATGTTGAAGATGTAGCTGGTGTATGGACGCAAATTCTTTACCAAATGCTCAACTGACGTTTCATCAGATATTGTTTCATAAATTTTGTCTGCAAAAAAATGTTTACAAATATGAAAGCCAAATACAAAAAAAAATAAAATTAATTAATTATGCAAAATGCATTTCTTTGTTCATTTACATGTGCATACAAGCATGTTTTTAAACTGCAACATTAACACCCCTCCTTCAGAGTGCAGGCACTGTACTTCCCATCTCCAGAACTCAAGTCTGGCCTGCCGGTTTCCCTGAATCCCTTCATAAATGTTACTTTGCTCACACTCCAACAGCACGACAAGTATTAAAAACCATTTGTCTCCATTCACTCCTATCAAACACGCTCACGCATGCCTGCTGGAAGTCCAAGCCCCTCGCACACAAAACTTGCTTTACCCCCTCCCTCCAACCTTTCATAGGCTGACCCCTACCCCGCCTTCCTTCCACTACAGACTGATACACTCTTGAAGTCATTCTGTTTTGCTCCATTCTCTCTACATGTCCGAACCACCTCAACAACCCTTCCTCAGCCCTCTGGACAACAGTTTTGGTAATCCCGCACCTCCTCCTAACTTCCAAACTACAAATTCTCTGCATTATATTCACACCACACATTGCCCTCAGACATGACATCTCCACTGCCTCCAGCATTCTCCTCACTGCAACATTCATCACCCATGCTTCACACCCAAGGACAAAGTTCTGTCTCCACAGACTCCTAAGTGCACCACTCACCCTTTTCCCCTCATCAATTCTATGATTCACCTCATCTTTCATAGACCCATCCGCTGACACGTCCACTCCCAAATATCTGAATACATTCACCTCCTCCATACTCTCTCCCTCCAATCTGATATCCAATCTTTCATCACCTAATCTTTTTGTTATCCTCATAACCTTACTCTTTCCTGTATTCACTTTTAATTTTCTTCTTTTGCATACCCTACCAAATTCATCCACCAACCTCTGCAACTTCTCTTCAGAATCTCCAAAGAGCACAGTGTCATCAGCAAAGAGCAACTGTGACAACTCCCACTTTATGTGTGATTCTTTATCTTTTAACTCCACGCCTCTTGCCAAGACCCTCGCATTTACTTCTCTTACAACCCCATCTATAAATATATTAAACAAACACAGTGACATCACACATCCTTGTCTAAGGCCTACTTTTACTGGGAAATAATCTCCCTCTTTCCTACATACTCTAACTTGAGCCTCACTATCCTCATAAAAACTCTTCACTGCTTTCAGTAACCTATCACCTACACCATACAACTGCAACATCTGCCACATTGCCTCCCAATCCACCCTGTCATACTCATTTTCCAAATTCATAAATGCCACAAAAACCTCTTTAGCCTTATCTAAGTACTGTTCACTTATATGTTTCACTGTAAACACCTGGTCCACACACCCCCTACCTTTCCTAAAGCCTCCTTGTTCATCTGCTATCTTATTCTCCGTCTTACTCTTCATTCTTTCAATAATAACTCTACCATACAATTTACCAGGTATACTCAACAGACTTATCCCCCTATAATTTTTGCACTCTCTTTTGTCCCCTTTGCCTTTATACAAAGGAACTATGCATGCTCTCTGCCAATCCCTAGGTACCTTACCCTCTTCCATACATTTATTAAATAATTGCACCAACCACTCCAAAACTATATCCCCACCTGCTTTTAACATTTCTATCTTTATCCCATCAATCCCGGCTGCCTTACCACCTTTCATTTTACCTACTGCCTCACAAACTTCCTCCACACTCACAACTGGCTCTTCCTCACTCCTTCAAGATGTTATTCCTCCTTGCCCTATACACGAAATCACAGCTTCTCTATCTTCATCAACATTTAACAATTCCTCAAAATATTCCCTCCATCTTCCCAATACCTCTAACTCTCCATTTAATAACTCTCCTCTCCTATTTTTAACTGACAAATCCATTTGTTCTCTAGGCTTCCTTAACTTGTTAATCTCACTCCAAAACTTTTTCTTATTTTCAACAAAATTTGTTGATAACACCTATATTTATTATTTTGAATTCTTCTGTTATTTTGTGTTAAGCAGCAGTGATGGCTTGTTTTCTGCACATTTCCACCCACTTCAACTCACTTTTCAGTCATTCAACACAGACATCCTTTATTTACAAAAATTCTCACTCATTCTACAAGTGTTTAATTACATATAAAGCAAACACAGACTGCTTTAATATTGGAATTCTGCATAAATATGTAATAAATGGTGTAGGAGTCACATGACAGCATAAAACGTCCTTTGACATATTTTTTCTAATTTTTCACTTTTTTTTATGTTTTTTTCCTGCCAATATGCAAAAAGAAAAAAAAAGATTAAATTAATTTGTACTAAAGAATAATATTCTCTGTGAATTCTGTATAAATATTAGTCACCCATTTAGTGTTTAAAAACCGATATGCTCTTGCCAATTCTCACTCACTGCATGATTGCAACCGACTTCAGGCGATGAAAATCGTAACTAACTATATCCAGTGAGAAAGTGAGAGGAGTTGCAAATGGCTGCCCTACTTCCCATGTTATCTTCATTATGTCTTTCAATTCAGAAAAAATACACCTAAATTTCAAATACATGGAGCTCTATGTAGATAGAATATCCAGATTTTTTTTCTGATGAACCACTGAGGCAGGATATTTACATTATTATATAAAGCTGTGTGTGATCACTTAATCAATAAATAATGTGCAAGGTGGGTGGAGGTAGCAAAGTGCATAAGCAAGTTGGCATGTGGCCTCACACTGCAAAATTTTTCAATTTTCTCCTACAACTCTAAAAAAATTTTTTTATATATTCCTGGTGCCCATGCTATATGGTGACAGAATATTTTGATATTTAAAGCAAATTATAATGTTACATGTGATCACTTGGTTAAAAAATAATGCTCAATGTAAGTACAGGCAGGAGGGTGGATGAGGCACTTGGCAATGACCAACACCCTCTGCTTATTTTTCTTATATTCTCATGCAAGCATACAATGTGAACAGTGGAGGTAAGGTGAGCAAACATACATAGGCAGTTGTGATGAATGGTTTGAAAAACCGACACGTTGAAGATTGAGACACTTATGCAGCATATGGGAATCTTTATTCCTGAATAAAGATTCTCAATCTTCATACATAGGCAGTGCTGATTTTCCTTTAAATTTTCAACAATGATGACTCATAATGACTTTTTTTTCTCACTGGCTGTCTCCCAAGGTAGAGTGACCCAAAGGAGAAAATACATTCACCAACATTCACTCTACTGCTGTCTTTCCAGAAGTGTGCTAACATTACAATCAGACTACCCTCTGACTGGAACACTGCCATCCCTCCTTCAGAGTACAGGCACTACCCTTCCCACCTCCAGGAGTCCAGCTAACCCATTTCCCTAAATCACTTCATAAAAATTTTTATCTATTTTTTTTAAAAAGCTGGCCATCTCCCACCGAGGCAGAGTGACCCAAAAAAGAAACACTTTCACCATCATTCACACTATCACTTTACTTTTAGGACCCCCACTAGTAACAATAACCCACAAAAGCAATTTTCCTCTATGCCTGTTAGCATTTTTCTGTGCAACAAAAAATCTCTGATCCACTGTAATAAAATAGTTTACCTTTTGTTTTCCAATACATGCATATATATATAATCCCCAAAAAAGTAACTGTACATATCCACACTACAAAATATGCTCTAATTCATTTGATGAACATTCCTTGTCTTGCCAGAGGCACACTTGACATACAGCTCAAATCTTCCTTCTTTCAACAAACTGGCCATTTCCCACCAAGGCAGGGTGCCCCCCCCCAAAAAAAAAGTTTCTCTTTTCAACTTTAGTAATGTATACAGGAGAAGGGGTTACTAGCCCCTTGCTCCCAGCATTTTAGTCGCCTCTTACGACATGCATGGCTTATGGAGAAAGAATTCTGTTCCACTTCCCCACGGAGATAAGAGGCAATAAGAACAAGAACTAGTAAGAAAACCCAGAGGGGTGTGTATATATATGCTTGTACAGGCATGTGTAGTGTGACCTAAGTGTAAGTAGAAATAATAAAACATACCTGGAACCTTGCATGTTTATGAGACAGAAAAAAGACATCAGCATTCCTACTATCATGTAAAACAATTACAGGCTTTCATTTTACACTCACTTTGCAGGACGGTAGTACCTCCCTGGGCGGCTGCTATCTACCAGCCTACTACCTAGTACAGCTCAGATATCCCTCCAAATTGCAACATCAGCACCCCTCCGTCAGAGTGTAGGCACTATGCTTCTCGCCTCCAGGACTCCCAATAGCCCGAAGTGTGAACAAAGTAACATCTATGAAGGGATTCAGGGAAACCGATTAGCTGGAACTGATAAAAATATGAAAAGCTAATTAGCCAGCAACATCTACTGATAGGTTCACTAACCTGATGGCAAAGAACATTTATCTTCAGTCTCTGCTGCAGTACAGTAAGAGATGTTAAAGCCAGTGGGTTCTGCAGCTTTAGCTTTACAGTCAAGATTCCACTTCAAAGTTACTTTTGTTTGAGTCCTGTCAGAGGAAAAAATGTTTTTATTGTATAATTATGAAATCAAACATGTCAATTAACTAACAAAGGTGACCTCCATGGCCCTTGATACATCAAACTGAGATACACTACTACCCAAAGACTGAAAAAAAGAAGACAACACAATATATTTTTTTAAATTCCCTACTTTTATTTTTAACTTAGTATTAGGCATGCCTAATGATTTTTTACAAGTAGAGACATTCAATCAGATTGAATCTGCTTAGAAATGTATTACAATAATGATGTAAATACAACTTACACATGGATCACTTCAAACTGTTCAAGTGGTGGAGGACGACTGCCATGATTAGCAATGCAGGTATGCCATTTAATTCCACTGGAGGAGTTATTTGAGTTGACAGATATGCCAAACATATAGAGAGATGAATTATCCAGGTCTGTAAGATTCTTAGATGTGATGGTTAGATCTTCAACAGTCAACCATTCCAGTTTGTTCTGTGGAATTATTAATCAATTTAGCATCAGACTCATCAAGGATAGGAAATAAGAATAATCACGTAATGCTTAATGAATACCTAATGTCAGCTGCCTTGTTATCACTGTAACTTTCCTTGCACATCCTGTAAACATCTGCTCCATATGCCAAAATTACCTTGGAATACTTAAACTTACATTGTGATTTAATATCTTAACAATTTGTTTCTACCATACAGTATTGTCTATAATATTTCTGTTGTTGGTTAGTTACCTTCTACTAAAAGCAAATATATTTCTTACACAGTTAATAACCCCACCTGTTTTGTGATTTACATACATTGAAATTACTTTAGTCCATGTTTTAGGGACTAAAGTATTGATGATTGATGTGGGCAACTGACATGCTGCTCTAATGACCCTTTTGTAACCAATAGGCCTTAAACTTAATGAGCTAATCAGCCAACTTTTATCAACAGTGTTCTGAGATTCCTACCTGACACCTTTCTTCATATTTATTTTTCTTGCACCAGTAGAGAGAGACACTTTCTATAGCCTTGTTTTCTAGAAGAGCTTCAGGAAGGCGCCACCTCATACTGTAAACAGTGCTGTTGGAGCTGTATGCAATGACTTTAAAGTAGTTTATGGCACTCAATATAGCTCCCTTCTCTGGTACTATAACTACTGATTTGACATCCTCATCACCAGGAAGTCCTTCATCATTCATAGGCTTGATCTCAAACCTAGAGAATTAGAAATATAAAATATGTACATTAACAAAGAGAAGTAAAAAATTCAATTGCATTTCTAAGCATAGCATATTATAGGTTATTTTCAAAACTAGGCTAATTTGATGAAGGAATAATTCACGTGAAGGAACTACAGAATTTAGATGAAAGAAAAGATGCAGCACACTTACTATGACTAATACTGAAAGGCTTTCACACTCATCCTTCACAGACCTACTTGCTGACATATCACCTCCCAAATATCTAAATATATTCAATTTCTCAATACCAACTTCATCCAAACTAACATCCAGTCTTTCATTGTCAATACTTCTTGTTACTCTTACTCTTTCCTATGTTCACTTTTAATTTCCCTTATTTACATACCCTCCCAAATTCATTCACCAACCTTTGCAGCTTCCCTTCAGACTCTCAAAAGCAGTGTCAATGGCAAAGAGCATCTGTGAGAGATGCATTTTATACCAGATCCATTACCCTTTAATCCCAAAACTCTTTTCCCTATACATAAAAACAAAAATATTTTTTTAACACACTGGTCATCTCTTACTGAGGCAGTGCAACCCAAAAAAGAAAAAACACTTTCACCATCATTTACTACCACTGTCTCACCAGAGGCACACTGATACTACAGTGCAGAAGCTCTTCCACACTGCAAATATCCACACTCTTTTTTCAGAGTGCAGGCACTGTAATTCACACTTCCAGGACTCAAATCCATCTACAAAGTTTCCTGAATGACTTCATAAAGGTTATCTTGTACTCACTCCAACAGCATGTCAAGTCATAAAAACCATTTGCCTCACTCACTCCTAAGACACTCACATATGCCTGCTAGATGTCCATGCCCCTCACATACAAAACTTCTTTTACCCCTCCCTTCAACTATCACTAGGGCAACCCCTATCCTGCCTTTCCTTCAACCATCACTAGGGCAACCCCTACCCTGCCCTCCCTCAACTACAGATTTATATATTCTCAAAGCCATCCTATTTTGATCCACCTTCTCACGAATAATAATAATAATAATAATAATAATAATAATTGAGCAATGTGTAGAAAGAGGTTTGGTAATAAGTAATATATATTTTATGAAAAAGAGGATAAATAAACATACAAGGTATGATGTAGCATGTAATGAAAGTAGTTTGTTAGATTATATATTGGTGGATAAAAGGTTGAGGGTAGGCTCCAGGATGTACACGTTTATAGAGGGGCAACTGATATATTGGATCATTATCTAGTTGTAGCTACAGTTAGAGTAAGAGGTAGATGGGCTAAGAGGAAAATGGCAACAACAAGTAAGAGAGAGGTGAAAGTGTATAAACTAAGGGAGGAGGAAGTTCAGGTGAAATATAAACAACTATTGACAGAAAGGTGGGCTGGTGCAGGAATGAGTAGTGGGGAAGTTGAAGAGGGTTGGAATAGTTTAAAAAATGCAGTATCAGAATGTGGGGCAGAAGTTTGTGGTTATAGGAGGGTGGGTGTAGGAGGAAAGAGGAGTGATTGGTGGAATGATGAAGTAAAGGGTGTGATATAAGAGAAAAAGGTAGCTTATGAGAGGTATTTACAAAGCAGAAGTGTTATAAGAAGAGCAGAGTATATAGAGAGTAAAAGAAAGGTGAAGAGAGTGGTGAGAGAGTGCAAAAGGAGAATGGATGATAGAGTGGGAGAGGTACTGTCAAGGAATTTTAATGAAAATAAGAAAAATTTTGGAGCGAGTTAAACAAGTTAAGAAAGCCTAGGGAACAAATGGATTTGTCAGTTAAAAACAGAGTAGGGGAGTTAGTAGATGGAGAGATGGAGGATTTGGGTAGACGGCGAGAATATTTTGAGGAACTTTTAAATGTCGACGAAAAAAGGTAGGCGGTAATTTCATGCATTGGCCAGGGAGGTATACCATCTTTTAGGCGTGAAGAAGAGCAGGAAGTGAGTGTGGGGGAGGTGCATGAGGCATTACATAGAATGAAAGGAGGTAAAGCAGCTGGAACTGACGGGATCATGACAGAAATGTTAAAAGCAGGGGGGGGGGGGGCAGTGTAGGAATGGTTGGTATTTTTGTTTAATAAATGTATGAAAGAGGGGAAGGTACCTAGGGATTGGCGGAGAGCATGTATAGTCCCCTTATATAAAGGGAAGGGGGACAAGAGAGATTGTAAAAATTATAGAGGAATAAGTTTACTGAGTATACCAAGAAAAGTGTACGGTAGGGTTATTATTGAAAGAATTAGAGGTAAGACAGAATGTAGAATTGCGGATGAGCAAGGAGGTTTTAGAGTGGGTAGGGGATGTGTAGATCAAGTGTTTACATTGAAGCATATATGTGAGCAGTATTTAGATAAAGGTAGGGAAGTTTTTATTACATTTACGGATTTAGAAAAGGCATATGATAGAGTGGATAGGGGAGCAATGTGGCAGATGTTGCAAGTATATGGAATAGGTGATAAGTTACTAAATGCTGTAAAGAGTTTTTATGATAGTGAGGCTCAGGTTAGGGTGTGTAGAAGAGAGGGAGTCTATTTCCCGGTAAAAGTAGGTCTTAGACAGGAATGCGTAATGTCACCATGGTTGTTTAATATATTTATAGAAGGGCTGTAAAAGAAGTAAATGCTAGGGTGTTCAGGAAAGGGGTGGGATTAAATTATGGGGAATTAAATACAAAATGGGAAGTGACACAGTTACTTTTTGCTGATGATACTGTGCTTATGGGAGATTCTAAAGAAAAATTGCAAAGGTTAGTGGACGAATTTGGGAGTGTGTAAAGGTAGAAAGTTGAAAGTGAGCATAGAAAAGAGTAAGGTGATGAGAGTATCAAATGATTTAGATAAAGAAAAATTGGATATCAAATTGGGGAGAATTATGGAAGAAGTGAATGTTTTCAGATATTTGGGAGTTGACATGTCAGCGGATGGATTTATGAAGGATGAGGTTAATCATAGAATTGATGAAGGAAAAAAGGCGAGTGGTGCATTGAGGTATATGTGAAGGTAAAAAATGTTATCTATGGAGGCACAGAAGGGAATGTATGAAAGTATAGTAGCACAAACACTCTTATATGGGTGTGAAGCTTGGGTTGTAAATGCTGCAGCGAGGAAGCGGTTGGAGGCAGTGGAGGTGTCCTGTCTAAGGGCAATGTGTGGTGCAAATATTATGCAGAAAATTCAGAGTGTGGAAATTAGGAGAAGGTGTGGAGTTAATAAAAGTATTAGTCAGAGGTGGTTTAGTCATTAAGAGAGAATGGATCAAAGTTGAATGACATGGAGAGCGTATAAATCTGCATGGGAAGGAAAGTGGGGTAGGAGTCGTCCTCGATAAGTTTGGAGGGAGGGGGTAAAGGAGGTTTTGTGGGCGAGGGGCTTGGATTTCCAGCAAGCGTGCGTGAGCATGTTAGATAGGAGTGAATGGAGACGAATGGTTTTTGGGACCTGACGAGCTGTTGGAGTGTGAGCACGGTAGTATTTGTCGACAGCCTACGCTGCCTGCTAGATTCATATCCCATGGCACCATGGTGCTGCCCTCTCTAGGCCTGCCCAGGTCAGTAAGGCACAGAGTCTACCCGCCCTCACTTCACGGCCTACCCACACGGGTTCAACAACCTCCCCTCCATGTATCGGCTATCGGTCATTCTCTCACTTTGCCCACTGTGTACTCACTCCTTTTCAAGTAAAGTCAAACTAGTCTACGGCCGTATCTTTGCAACCTACGCTACCCCTCGGCACTAAACCACTGTTCAATAGCAAGAACAGCAATAACATAGTACTTAGTGACGGGATTCAGGGAAACCGGTTATTTTTATATAGTCGGACTTGAGTACTGGAAATGGGAAGTACAGTGCCTGCACTTTAAACGAATGGTTTGGGATAGTGGCATTTTGGAGGGATATATTATATATCTTTATATGTGCTTCTAAACTGTTGTATCTGGGTACCTCTGCAAAGACAGTGATTATGTATGAGTGAAGTGAAAGTGTTGAATGAAGATGAAAGTATGTATTTTCTTTTTGGGGATTTTCTTTCTTTTTGGGTCACCCTGCCTTGGTGGGAGACAGCAGACTTGTTGAAAAAAAAAATAATAACAATAAAAATATCTGCTTGCCTCTGGAAAGACAGTGATAGTGTGAATGATGGTGAAAGTGTTTCTTTTTTTGGGTCACAATGCCTCAGAGGGAGACAGCCAGTGAGTTATAAAAAAAAATAATACAGTACCCAGTAATAATAAAAATAAAAATTAATAATAATAATCATAAAGGAATATCCAGAAAGAAAGACTTGTTGTGAGAAATCCAGTGCACACATTTTGAACCAATTTCTTTGTCAAGTTTTCAATTTATGGGTTGTGTTACAACCCCCCACAAAATAAGCAATGGGGAAAAACTTGTCAATAATTGAAGCTGTTTACAAGAGGCCCTTCAATAAAAAATTAAAGACCCCAAATTAAGAAGCTTGTGAAATTTGCGTATCAACTGTATATATTTCAAATTAAAATAAAAAAGGTCTTACTTATAAGCAATATCCTTATCCATGTTGGTAAATTTAGCATAAGCACCTCGGATATCAATTTCTTCTGGACTCTTGATGATGGGCCTAAAAACAAGGAACAATCATTAATAAATGATAATTATAATTATTTTATGACTGTACTTAAACAATCACAATATTATTTACCTCATCTCAGTTATGAATGTATTTCCAATCATAGAAATAATTTGTTTCTCAATGGTTACAAAATTTAAACTGTGAATCTAATTGAAACTGTTAAAGAGTATTAGGAAAAAAGTACCATGAAAAAATGTGAAAAATAAACTTCTTACAGTTAACACAAACCTGTCATTCTGAAAATTGAACACCGAGATGACATAAGTAAAGTTAGGACCATTCCAGAATAGTGGGTCAACCTTTTGCCAGCTGATGTAAATGTCACGATGAGAGAGAGTTTCTTCAATTTCAAATGTGCCAATACCAGTCAAGGGTGCTTTTGTCGGCCCTGAAAATAAAAGAACATTATTAAGACCTCATTTGTGGAATGACAAAATTTTTAGCTTACTTTTCTGCTATAAGAAAAAAGTACACATACTGTATACTGTACTACTGTAACCCTAAAAGTAATAAACATCCAAGACATGGTGACCTAAAGAAGGAAACAAATTCACCATCATTCAATCAATCAGTCTTGACAGAAGAGAGTTGAAATCACTATTCAGATTACTCTCTGACTGCAACATCCCCAATCCCTCCTTCAGAGTGCAGGCACTGCACTTCCCACCTCCAGGACTCAAGTCCAGGTAACCAGTTTTCCTGAATCCTAGTTAACATGCTCACACAATCTTGCTAGATCCTCAAGCCCATGAAAGTCAAAGATTCCTTTATCCCCCTCCCTCCAACCATTCCTGGTAAAACCCTTATACCTCCTATCTTCCACCCCAGATTTATACACTGTATATACTCTTTGATCCACTGGAGTATGTTCCCTGTTATAACCATCTGAACAAACAAACAAACAAGCAAGCAAGAGCGCATGTGCGCGCACATGCTCACACACACTTACACACTCACTCACACTCATACACTCACTCACACTCACACACTCATTCACACTGCTGAGGCACCAGTGTAGAACACAAACATAAATCTGGCAGTAATAAGCCCTATTACAAGGACTGCACTATATTTTAAGCCAAAAAACTTTTGAAAAGATACATGAATAACAGTTTATAGTAATGAAAAAATTCTACAGTGTTCTAAAAACAAATCTATGGAAGTAAAATCTTGGTATCCACACCTGCTGTGGTACTGGTTCCAATGTCTAGTACAATGATGTGCAGTACCAAAGTTTAACTGTATGAATTATAGTGAGTCTGATTCATTGAACACAGTTGCATAATGATTACATGGTTTAACATTATTAGATAGCTCATCTAATTAATGGGTGACTGAGAAAAGCATAAAAAACATAATCAATGTATTTGTAGTGGCCTTTTGACATTTGTTATAACACATAACAAGATAGCCATAAATTTCAACAAAAAAACAAAGAAAAAACTGGGTTGGTTGTTAACCCTTTCAGGGTCGAGAGGCCCTCTCCTAAACTTGTTCTCAGGGTCGAAAATTTTTCGGAAAAAAAAAAAATCTTATGAAAAGATAGAGAATCTTTTCCCGATCATAATGACACCAAAAGTATGAAATTTGATGGAAAACTTAAGGAATTATGCTCTAGCAAAGTTAGCGGTTTCGACGATGCTTACACATCGGCGATTTCACCCACTTTGAGCCCTATTTTTGGCCAATTCCAATGTACTAGTCAACAAAAATCATAGCTACTTTGCTAGAACTCCATTTTTTGTATCAAATGATTACAAGAAACCACCCATTTACTGATTTCAACTATCCAATAAAGTGGTCAGAAATTAGCAATTTTGCCAATTTCACACAAATTTCAAAAGATGCCAATTTCCAAATAGGGTCCAGAATAAACAAGACAGACATTTCTGGCACTAAAATAACATTTCCTCTGTTCATTAGTCATGTCCCCAGGCCCCTCTTACCTTTCTTTTGCTTTCCACTTTGAATTTTTATTCTCACAAAAAATAGAATATTTACTGTTATGCAGACTACTGCATTAGTGTAGAAATGGTATAAATAATATCAGCGCACTTGTGAAAGAATATTAGACTCACCAGTTGATGTGTATTGGACACGTGGCATGATTTGTTTACTTTTGAACTTTGGCAAAAATCAAACATTTCTGCTAATTTGAGCTCAATTTCAAGGTACTTTTCATTGTGAAACCAATCAAAATCATTTCAATTTTTGTAATTGTCTTCCATGCTATAAAATGAGACCAAGTAAACTAGAATACAACCATAAATATCATACGAAAATACAGTGCAAAGTCGCTGTTTTAAACCAAAAACACAAAGTTTTTTTTTTTCTCATTACGCAATGTGTGTTGCAGGATTATTTTTATACTGCTCACACTGACCACACAGACCCATTCTTTCACATGTAGACCTACCAGCATTCTCTAGTTAGATTTGAAGGCGCTAGAATTTAGGCGTAACAGTACGTCAATAACCCTGATGCGTAAGCCGTACTAGTATGTTGGAAACCCTGAAAGGGTTAATATGGTGGTGTGGCTTATACATAGCTGGTTATCCTGCAAATGTATTTAGTAGTAAACCACAGATTATCCAGCACTCTCTCATTCAGCATTGAACCTCAAGTGGTCTTTGTCATGGAGAGTACCTGAATAGATAATGTGGGAAGAGTATTGTGCAAACATTAGGAACCATAAAAAATATGATGAATTTTTTTTTTAATCTGACACCACCTTTCCTCAGTCTCACTGGATAACCTATAGTCTACCATATACATATGTTTGGAGTGATATCTAAACTGTCATATCTGGGCACCTCTGGAAAAGACAGTGATTATGTGTGAATAATGGTGAAACTGTTGAATGATGGTGAAGGTGTTTCTTTCTTTTTTGGGGTCACCCTGCTATAGTGGGTGACGGCGGGCAAGATGAAAAAAAAAAAATATATTCACTGAAGCCAGTTGCCCCATTTGACTGCTACCTCAACAGCAAATATAACAGCCGGGGATTCATGTTTATTTCATTCTACTGGCATTTGCTGGTTGGTAATATATCTCAAAAAGGACAATCCTAGTCACTCTCAAGAGTCTTAGCAGGACTTCTTCAAAACCTTGTGCAAACCACAAAACTCAAGTTAACCCTTTGAGGGTCGAGACCCCTAATCATTAACTCACTCTCAGGGTCGAAAATTTAAAAAAAAAAAAAGATAAGAGAATCTTTTCCCATTGGTAATGACACCAAAAGTATGAAGTTTGATGGAAAATTTACAAAATTACGCTCTCACGAAGTTAGTGATATCAGTGATATTTATGGATTGGCAATTTCGCCCATTTTGAGCCCTATTTTCGGTCAATTCCACTGTTCCAGTCAACTAAAATCATACTTATTTTGTTAGAACTCCATTTGTTCTATCGACTGAGTACAAGAAACTGCCCATTTACCGATTTGAACTACCCAATAAAGTGGTCAGAAATTGGCAATTTGGCCAATTTCATCCAAATTTCAAAATATGCCAATTTCAAAATAGGGTCTAGAATAAACAAGACAGACATTCCTGGCACTGAAATAACATTTTCTCTGTTCATTAGTCACATCTCCAAGCCCCTCTTATATTACTCTTGCTTTCCATTTCGAATTTTTATTCTCACAAAAAATTAGAAGATTTACTGTTATGCAGACTACTGCATTATTGTAAAAATGGTATAAATAATATCAGTGCACTTGTGAAAGAATATCAGATTCACCAGTTGACATGTATTGGACACATGTCGTGATTTGTTTACTCTTGAACATAGGCAAAAATCGAACATTTCCACTACTTTGAGCTCAATTTCAAGGTACTTTTCATCATGAAACCAATCAAAATCATCTCAATTTCTGTAATATACCTTCCATTCTATAAATGAGACCAAGAAAACGAGAATACAACTATAAATACCATACGAAAATACACTGCAAAGTCACAGTTTTAAACAAAAAACGTGGTTGGAGTTTTTTTTTCTAATTATGAAGCGCATGCTGCAGGATTTTTTTAATGCTGCATACACTGACCATGCAGACCCATTCTTTCATATGTAGGCCTACCAGCATTCTTCCACCAGATTTGAAGGTGCTAGAATTTTGGCATAAAAAATGGGGCTGACACTGGCTATCAAGCCGTACATATGCAGGACTGACCCAGAAAGAGTTAAGACATTTTAAAGGAATGTGTTTAAAGTATTATCAAGTGTATAAAGTACATGTTTGGAGATACAAACTTATAACCATCAGATAACTCAAAGGATCTCCATGGGGAAGTTGAACAGAATTCTTCCTCTGTAAGTCATGTGTGTCGTAAGAGGCAACTAAAATGCAAGAAGCAAGGGGCTTATAACCCCTTCTCCTGTATTTTATTTATTTATTATCACACTGGCCGATTCCCACCAAGGCAGGGTGGCCCAAAAAAGAAAAACTTTCACCATCATTCACTCCATCACTGTCTTGCCAGAAGGGTGCTTTACACTACAGTTTTTAAACTGCAACATTAACACCCCTCCTTCAGAGTGCAGGCACTGTACTTCCCATCTCCAGGACTCAAGTCCGGCCTGCCGGTTTCCCTGAACCCCTTCATAAATGTTACTTTGCTCACACTCCAACAGCACGTCAAGTATTAAAAACCATTTGCCTCCATTCACTCCTATCAAACACGCTCACGCATGCCTGCTGGAAGTCCAAGCCCCTCGCACACAAAACCTCCTTTACCCCCTCCCTCCAACCTTTCCTAGGCCGACCCCTACCCCGCCTTCCTTCCACTACAGACTGATACACTCTTGAAGTCATTCTGTTTCGCTCCATTCTCTCTACATGTCCGAACCACCTCAACAACCCTTCCTCAGCCCTCTGGACAACAGTTTTGGTAATCCCGCACCTCCTCCTAACTTCCAAACTACGAATTCTCTGCATTATATTCACACCACACATTGCCCTCAGACATGACATCTCCACTGCCTCCAGCCTTCTCCTCGCTGCAACATTCATCACCCACGCTTCACACCCATATAAGAGCGTTGGTAAAACTATACTCTCATACATTCCCCTCTTTGCCTCCAAGGACAAAGTTCTCCTGTATACATTACTAAATTTACAAAGAGAAACTTTCGTTTTTCTTTTTGGGCCACCCTGCCTTGGTGGGATATGGCCAGTGCATTGAAAGAAAAAAGATCTCAAATGTACCAGCATCATAAAAATATAATTATTACAACTTCAAAAAAAACAAAATAGAGTAACCCTCAATACTATATCATATACTCTTTTATAATAGTTGCTCTTAAAGATGGTGAACACAATAATACAAAAGGAACGTGAACAGCCTTTTCCTTACGGGTAGCGGCAGTCCTCTCAGTATGAATGGCAGGATCAGACCACATGTGCTGTCGAATGGGGCCTATTCCAGTGTGGAGACGCACACGGAAATCATAAAAGATGTATGCATGAAGATCGCTGATGACTTTAGTGAATAGTTCTTTACTCCGCTGTGCATAAACTTTCTTCTGCTCAACCTGAAAAATATTGCAAAATAAAAAATAAATAAATAGTTCTAATACGCATAAGTTTTCTTTATTTTTTTAACATGTTGGCCGTCTCCCACTGAGGTAGGGTGACCAAAAAAATAAAAACACTTTCACCATCATTCACACACAATTAGTCTTTACAGAGGTGCCCAGATACAACAGTTTAGATGTCACTCCAAACAGCCAATATCCCAAACCCCATACCCCCTTTAAAGTGCAGGCACTGTACTTCCCACCTCCAGCACTCAAGTCTTGCTAACCGGTTTCCCTGAATCCCTTTACCTTGCTCACACTCTAACAGTTCGTCAGATCCCAAAAACTATTCATCTCCATTCACTCCTATCTAACACACTCACACATGCCTGCTGCATGCCCAGGCCCCTTGAACACAAAATCTTTTACCCCCTTTCCTAGGACGACCCCAGCCCCTCCTCCCCTCCACTACAGATTTATACAACCTCTCCTCACTTAGTGATGTACTCGTTTACTGACCACTCAGACTTATGACCAGCTCTCCAACCAGCATGCAACCTAAGTACTGTATATTAGAGCTGATTTCCTCTATTCTGTTTATTACAGTATACAGTACACTACTGCATAAACATTTAAAAATATACTAAAAATGTTATAAATGGTGCAAAGGTGACATTAAATAAAATATCTAAAGATGGTTGACACAAACTCACTATGAGTAAAATATGCTCCTCACTTAACGACCAAATCACTTATTGACCTACTCTTGGGAACAGAATCCAGTCGTTAAGTGAGGAGAGGCTGTACACCCTCCAAGTCATTCTATTTTGCTCCATCCTTTCTGAATGACCAAACCACTTCAGTAACCCCTCTTCAGCCCTATGAAAAATACTTTGTAACTCCACACCACCTACTTTCCACATTTCGAATTCTCTGCACAAGATTTACACCACATATTGCCCTTAGACATGACATCTCCACTGCCTCCAACCTCCTCCTCACTGCAGCATTCACAACCCATGCTTCACACCCATATAAAAGTGTTGGTACCACTATACTCTCGCACATTTCCTTCTTTGTTTTCATGGATAATGTTTTTTGTCTCCACAGCTAACTCAATGCACCACTTTTTTTCCCTACATCAATTCTATGGTTAACCTCGTCCTTCATAAACCCGTCTACTGACAAATCTACTACCAAATATCTTAACAGTACAGTGCCTGCACTCTGAAGGAGGAGTGTAAATGTTGCAGTTTAAAAACTGTAGTGTAAAGCACCCTTCTGGCAAGACAGTGATGGAGTGAATGATGGTGAAAGTTTTTCTTTTTCGGGCCACCCTGCCTTGGTGGGAATCGGCCAGTGTGATAATAATAATAATAATAAATTAATTTCTTCCATATTCCCGCTCTCCAATGTGATATCCGATTTTTCTTTACCTAACTCGTTTGATACCCTCATCACCTTACTCTTATCTATGTTTACTTTCAACTTTCTTCCTTTACACACCATCCCAAACTCATCCACTAACCTTTGCAACTTCTCTTCAGAATCTCCCAAAAGCACAGTATCATCAGCAAAAAGTAACTGTCTCAATTCCCATTTTGTATTTGATTCCCCATAATTTAATCCCACCCCTCTCCCAACACTCTAGCATTTACTTCTTTTACAATTCCATCTATAAATATGTTAAACAACCATGGTGACATTACACACCCCTGTCTAAGGCCTACTTTTACTGAAAAGTAATCTCCCTCTCTCCTACACACCCTAACCTGAGTCAAACTATCCTTAAAATAACTCTTTACAGCATTTAGTAACTTACTACCTATTCCATACACTTGCAACATCTGCCACATTGCTTCCCTACCCACCCTATCATATGCCTTTTCTAAATTCATAAATGCAATGAAAACATACCTACCTACCATTAAGTTTAGTCTGAATGACAGTGGCTTTCTTTGTACTTAGCACATCAAAATTGTAATTATACATTGTAAACTTTGCAAAGAAATAAAATCCTTATCCCTTTATCTAAATATTGTTCACTTACATACTTCAGTGTAAACACTTGATCTACACATTCCCTACCCATTCTAAAGCCTCCTTGTTCATCATGCCCAAATAAATACTATCATTCAAATGTACAGACACTACACATACACTACTCCTCAGAACTTACTACAGACATTCCTCACTTAACAACCTACCTGTTTAATGACTGCTCAGATTTATGACCAGCTATCCAACCAGTTGGTATTGTAAGACGTATGAAAACTCTGGTTGTGGAAATGGCATCACATCTCAGCATCACCCTTTCTCAGTCTTCTTCCCACAGTTATTCGGTATTCACTAACTATAGTTAGTCAGTCAAATCAGTAAGTCACTCATTCCAGTCAATAAGTCAAGGCAGTATAGTCAGTCAAGTCAGTACAGTGGACCCTCGCCTAACGATGGCATCGCATAACGCTAAATCCACCTAGCGATACATTTTAACGCAAAAAATTTGCCTCGCCTAGCGCTAAAAAACTCACTCAGCGCAATTCGTCTGAGACGCGTCCACGTGCAGCCTGAGCCAGCCTCACTTGTTCCGTGGGTGGCAGTGTTTACAAGCCAGCCTCCACGGTCACATCCAAGCATACAATCGGAACATTTCATATTATCACAGCATTTTTAGTGATTTCACATGCAAAATAAGTGACCATGGGCCCCAAGAAAGCTTCTAGTGCCAACCCTGTGGTAAAAATGGTGAGAAAAACTATCGTACCACAGTCAGCTGCTGCTGCACCAACGTCAGCTGTTGCTGGTCTAGTCAGCTGTTGCTGCACCACAGCTGCTGCTGCACCACAGTCAGCTGCTGCTGCACCACAGTCAGCTGCTGCTGCACCTCGGTCAGCTGTTGCTGCACTACAGTCAGCTGCTGCTGCACCACAGTCAGCTGTTGCTGTACCACCATCAGCTGTATTACTCGAAGATGTGGAGAGAGCGTTGTTGGTATGGCTTAACATGAAACAATTATCGAGAAACGATTAACCCCAGAGGGTTAGCCACCCAGGATAACCCAAGAAAGTCAGTGCATCATCAAGGACTGTCTAACTTATTTCCATTGGGGTCCTTAATCTTGTCCCCCAGGATGCGACCCACAACAGTTGACTAACACCCAGGTGAACAGGAAAAAATGCCTGGAACTAGTGCTCATATTGGTGAAGTTAGTGGGGAGGATGTGGAAGAGTTGGTGGAGGAGGACAATGATGAACTAACCACTGATGAGCTGCTAGATCATCTTCAACAGCAAGAGGCCAGACCTGAGGAAACTGCTTCGGAGGGAGAGAGAAACTGAAGAAGTTGCCTACTTCAAAGATTAAGGAAATGTATGCAATGTGGCTTGAAGTGCAAACCTTTTTTGATGAAAATCATCCTGACACAGCTATTGCAAGCCGTGCTGGTGACTATTACACTAACAATGTTGTGAACCACTTTAGGAAAGTCATAAAGGAACGAGAGGTACAGGCCTCTATGGACAGATATATTGTGCGACAGAGGTCCAGTGACTCTCAAGCTGGTCCTAGTGGCATTAAAAGAAGAAGGGAAGTAACCCCGGAAAAGGACTTGACACCTCAAGTCCTAATGGAAGGGGATTCCCCTTCTAAACACTAAGACCATCCACACTCTCCCCTCCTCCCATCCCATCCGTCATCACCAGATCTTCAATAAAAGTAAGTGTCATGTATTGTAGAGGTCTCCCTCAACATTCGCGAGGGTTAGGGGATCAAGAGCCTCGCGAATGTTGAAAAATCGCAAATGTTTGGTGCCCCAATATATTGCAGGGAAATATAATAAAATAATAAAATAAAATAATCTGTGTATATACATGTATATACGTACATGCTCCTCCCACTCATATTTGTCCAATCTCTTTTTAAAGCTACCCAAGGTCCTATCAAAGCTAAAACCTTGGGTAGCTTCACATTTAGGTTGGATAAATACATAAGTGAGAGGAGGTTGGATTTGAAAGGGACTTGCATGCGAGTAAATAGAATGTTCAAAGCTTATTGCTTGGGTAGCATTTATTCTGTTAGTGGGTTGGATTTGTGAAGGACCTGAATAGTATGGGCCAACAGGTCTACTGCAGTGTTCCTCCTTTCTTATGTTCTCATGAACAATCATAAAATACGTACCTGAGAACATCGTAAAATACTGTACTGCCTCCACCACTGCCTCGTATTTTTATATAATTTCTTTCTTCAATTCTTTCGTGCTTCTCAGTTTCTTTACCAAAATTTATTTGGGCCCATGGTTAATTATGTAGCAGTCACAGTCAATCAACAAGCACCAAACACAATGAATTATTGTGAAATGTTTGGAAGAGCGCAGAGGATAATACTCACTCCAGCATAAACAAAGCCATACTGACTGACAATGCCTCTACCACCCACTGCTTCAACCCTCGTGTTTATTATATTATTATTATTATTATTATTATTATTATTATTATTATTATTATTAGCAGTCATGAATGAGTTGACATTATTTATACTGTAGTTTAATAAATAATGAGCAAACAAAACACTCACCACTCGTAAGGCAGACGAACTCTGATGACTTGTGATGATTAAAAAAATTTAAATTATAATTCTTTATTTCTCTATTGATATTACATGCAGTTACTGATGACAGTTGAATGGAGATGATTATATGGAGTGTAACTGCATGGCATGAGACTAGTGTGTGGATTCTAAGTCTTCACTGCCTCAGGTGAGGCAGTAGGAGTAGTGGCAGGCTTCCTTGTGAAGAACATTGTGATGGGCAACTGAGACCGTTTACTCTTCATATCTACAAACAGAGTTTGGTAGGGAATTATGGTCTTATCAAGGTCGTTCATCACCTTCAAAGCCCTCAACATCGATGGGTCTATGTCGTACATAAATTGTTTGAGCTGCGCTGTCATTCTCATCACCTGTCCAAGTTTTTCAAGGGTGAGGGCTTGAGGTTGATTGGCTTCAGCAACACTCTCCTCT